TTTTTTCTTAATAACTTTAAAGAGAATGAAATAAAAAATATCTACCACAATCTACCCTGAGTTTAATTTCTTTTTATTTTTGTATGTTTACTATATCCTAGATAAGATTGCTGCTCTTCTCTTGCTGGCACTATAGGGTGTTTTCCCCAGCTTCCTCCAGAAGAAGGTTAGGACAATGTTCAAAATGCTGCCACATCTGCCTTATTCCCTATTTTAAACCTTAGGATGTTTGTTATCAGAACAATCTTCACAACTTCACCTACTTCAGCAGATCCATACCTGTAACTGAGCTTAATCAGTAATTCCTCGCCCTGCTTGAGATAGCAGAAGTGAGCCTGGTTTAGCTGCAGTTGCTAGTGTCCCGTAGGCTGGGTCTTGTCTGGAACACCAAAGCCGTAAGATCTGAAATGCTCTGCTGGCCTCATCCCCCATACAAACTTCTTGTTCTCAATTTCAAAATCAGCCATAACCATAAAAACAGCACACTGTTTTTATGCTCCCCAGATACTTTCATTTTAAAACAAATGACACAAACAAGGAAGACACAGTAATTGTTGACTCTTTGCATCAGGCATACAAAATGTTGCATTTTTTACGGTTTAAAGTCTTTCATTTTAACATTGAAAGATGAAAACATGACCTAATTTATACTTAGAACAATTTTTAAAAGTGGTTGAAATCTATAGATGGAAATCTATCCTTCTTATCTTTATTAGTAGAGCAAATACTACTTGTGCGACACAGGAGAATGCCAGTTTCCTATGCTACCAGCGTCTTAGCCCTTTGAGGCAATATTTTTGTCTAACTTCACTTTGTTCCTCACCATAGAAAAGCTGGAAACTCAAGGCAGCAACAGTGCAGTGCCTGTGGAAGATGATGACATCCATCTATCTATCTATCTATCTATCTATATCTATCTCAACTTTTCGGTCTAATGGCTTGGGAGAAGAGGGTGGGAAGAGAAGAAGATCAGAGATAGGAACAGGAATCACTGACAGAATTACCTAAGGGCTTTAGAAGGCAATGAAAAAGCCAAGCACAGAAGTGCACATGGCGATTAACCAAATACTGTGTGAATAAGCTGCGGCCTTTTTCCATTTGGCATGGAGATGGATGCAGACCATGCCAAGAAAAGGGGGGGGGAAAAGAGAATTATAGTAATTCTCAGAGCTATCTGTCCTTCTTTTATCTGTCAACAGGAGAAGGAAGTGGCAGGAGACTTCTAGACACGGTATCGGTTTCCTCTTGAACCGGATCTCCCAGCAGAGACTGCACAGGAGACCGTTTCCGTAACAGAAGTCAAGTGATTGCTATGAAAACTAATTGCTGCATCTCTGGATGACTAAATCATATTAACATTCTTTTCTTGAAGCACAGGGATGCATATGTATCCTACACACAACCACTCCTTTATATCTAGGCTGCTACAGTACAGGTGGAGTTTTATAATAATCTATCTTGGAATTTAAAATATTTGCACTGGAACTGTTAAGCATCTGGTAGCAATGCAGATTACACCTTTTTTGAAAATATTCCTCATATTAACAATTGTTATTTGGGGAGGTTAAATGAATGTGTTCCTAACCTAACACTAAAGCTGTGATTCAGATGATCAAGTAGCAATTTTCGAAATCAGAATTTGTTATAAACTTGATTTCATTATGAGGTTTACATCGTCTTTAAGTAAACAGAAAAATAAAGAGGGCAAGTACACATTGAAGTACCATAATCAAACTCATAATTTCCTCTTCCATTTCTAGAATGAAGAAGGTTAAGAGCAAGCTACCTCATATCTCTTCAGAAACATCCCAAACAAGCATCCTCCTCAACATGCCAGTGACGACTGTGATCTAAAATTTTTTAACTCAAAGCAATAGTTCCAAACTTTCTTTGCTACCATTCTGCTGAAAATACACTTAAAACGTGTCCTTACACATCTGTCCCAAATTTTGTCACTGGGGAGGATCTGAGTGATTAATGACCTCCTGGGTAAAATGAAAGCTCAGTAACAAAAAGTTTCTATCATATGGTAAAACTGAATCCCAGCATAATTAAATCACAACTATATCCTTGTTGTAATGTTATAACACAGGTAAGTTATCCATGCACAGTGCATCTCAATGCATACAGGCATTTATTGCTCATGCATATTCATTATACAAATAGGTGAGTGGGTGCATGCAACAAAACATGCAGAATTAGACTCTTCCCTTCTTCCAGTTTTTCCTCCTTCCACTATTCACAGCTTTTGCATGTTTCTGATTATTTAGTAGGCAAGATATTCTTAGTGGCATCTCAACATCGATGCAAGAAGGAAGTTTTGAATGACACAACCCTCCTACTACTTTTATTACAGCTAGTTTGATGCAGTAGCTGCCAATATTGAGAAACTTTGATCCAATAAATTATTTTTCAAATACAACAGGCCTCTCTGTTTCTATGTTCTTCATTTTTATAACCATGACGTTTCACAATATCTTGCTGAGCTAAAATAGATCTCAGGTAAAATTCTCAGAAGCGCCTACAGTTTCGCTGACTTTAATAAGATACATGTTCTTTGGTACCATGAGTGCTTTTGAAAATACTGCCTTTCAACTTTCTTTTGAATACTATCCTTATTTGAAATAGATTCTGGGAAATTATATCCCAGAGGTTTTCCAAGCTTTATCTAACATTGATGACCCTTAAAAAAAACCTTGCCAGATGTCTTAGGATTTCAGGTCAATCCCTTAGGGTCTACACTCCAGAGAGAGACTACACTGAGGCAGCTCTCAGAAGGTCAGACCTTGTTCCAGTGAAATTCCTGCACAGTTATCACGGATTTTGCTCTGAAGCAGAGCAGGCTTCAGGGAGGCTCCCGAAGTCTCTTACAAAAACCATAGGAGGAGGCCAGGATCACCTCACAAAGCATGATGATAAAAGGCCTTTTTCTGCTTCACAGAAATTTCAAAAGACCAGTAAAGTGTAATTTATTATTTTCCCCATCCCTGTTAAGCTGGCCATGTTTCTGACCATAGAAAACTCTCAATTATTCTGTTATTTTTACCATCTGTTATTATAGCATGGGTATAAGAAAGTTATTTGGGAAAAAAAACCCACCAAAACACTTATGAGCAGGCAATTATTTCTGACCTCCAACTCATAATTAATGAACCTAATGTTTGTTTTTAAATGGAAAAAATCAAGGCTAGACAGAATATTGAAGGAATATTCTGGTTTTGATAGACTTCAGGTACAGTAAAACTACAATAAAAACATTCCTTAATATGCTAATGAAAAAGAAAACACTGTAAGGAGAAAGTAACGCTGTTGACCGCAGTGGGTGGATCTAGTCTCAGATTGCAAAGAAACGGGCAAATGATGCCTAGGGACCTGATGTTAGATGAAACTTTGGAAAGCAAATTTTTAAATTCTCTTCATGAACACAATACTTGCCTTGAAAAATGTAGGCTTTCAGTTTTTCTGGCACCTGAGAGAAGTTGCTTTGTTCACATTTTTAAATTAAGATTGTACAATGCCAGCCGGCTGTTTTGTTTTGTGTTTCAATGTAAGAGAAAGGTATAGACAACCTCTGAATTTTATTTAAGGTCTTCTTTCTCTGTTTATTTGCTCAAGCCAGTAAATAAAAGAAAAAAAAAATAACCTTGGTCCACAATGCATGTGTCCCTTCACAGAAAATAAGGAGTTTGGGAAGACTGAATACCATAATTCACTCTAATTTTGAAAATGATCACTGCTGAATGTTTTCTGAGGGTGAAAGTGTAATTGGTTATAGATCAATAAGTAATTTCATTCAAAAGGAACTCTTCTGTTCCTGAAAGTAGAGAGATTCTTAAATCAAAATCAAACTAATACATTACCAAAGTTGAGAATAATCTAAACAACAGAATTTTATACTGCCCTAGTTATGTTTATCTCAACTGATCATTTATTTATGTTGCCATAAAAATCCAGATGCTTTCAATTTTGATTGCTAGTTATTTGCTTCAAGGTAGCTGAAATTACTTTTTTAGGTTTCCTAGCTTGACAATCTTGCTTTCTGCTTAAGATTTATCTTCACAAAGGAATGGTGAAATCAGAGGATAAATTCTAGTATTAACAATAAGCACAGCCAATTGTAATACACTGTAATTCCCCCAGCAGATTCCAGATTAAATCCTCCAGGATTAATGTACCTTCTGATGACATTGCTAAATCCTGTTTTATGTAATTAGATTGCAGTAAACTGCTATATCTGTACAGGTATCATGATATGATTCTTAATTGAAAAGCCCTATAAAGTATCACTGCATAAAGTAAAAGGCATTTTGAGAATGTCTGAGAGCCTGTTCAGTTTTGTAGGCTATAAACCATTATCAGTTCACTATTGACCCTAAAAGGGTCATTAGCAACCTGCTGTATATACATTGAAATGAAATAAATTAAAATCCCACAAATACAAGAACAATCAAGACAAGACAAAATATCATGCATTTGTTAATAATACTTACGATATGCAGCTCTAAATAATCTCCGAGCCCAGTAGAACTGTCCACTCGTACCAATACAGCTTCTTTTTGAACAGTACTAAACCCTATTGCCAGTCTGTCCGCACGAGTGCTTGGCCGATCATTAGGAGGCCATGTGTAAGTGATTTGTCCACCACCTTTGCTAAAGATATATGTTGTTCCAGCTGTAAAACAGAAATAAATATAATTAGCTCACTTGCACCAAGGCAAACCCACATGGAAATCGTATGCTCTACAAAAATCAAGATGTTCTCATAGAGCAAACAGATTCATAAAGACAAACAGGACTATATTTCTACATGAAGGGGTCTTTATCTCTGAAAATTTTGCAGCAAGTGAAGTATTAGTGCTTTTTATATAGTGCAATCAACACAGAATATAACATAATTGCACATGCAGCGACTTAAAATACCATAGCTCTGATTCAGAAATGCATATCTATTCAAGAGATTTCTTAAGCATATGCTTGAAGGATGTGTTTCTGTGATGTGCAGAACGGGTTGAACCAAATCTTTCCCAAACTGGGCCCATGTGGAGAAGAAATCAAGTAATTTCAGTTATCTCATGACTGACAAAAAAAACACAGCTCCTTACTTACACAATGAAAATGATATGCACTATATGATACGTCATCGTGCCCAGTGAAGCAAGATGTTAACAAATACATTCAGATAAGACTTTTACAGATCTGGGGTTTATCAGCTTGTGACAAATGGGGATAACAAATGGAAACATACTTTACTTGTCATGTCAGGACAAAAAGATATCAGTCTACCGACTAAGTAAGCAAGGGCTTATTTGCATAATGCTCAATGTATAACTTCCAAGAGTGGAAAATTTTGCACATTATATCCAGTGTGCACTTACAAAATCTGTAATTTGTTTTAAACAAATGTTGTAAGCTAAACCCACTTAGTACTCAGGTGCTCAACTTCATCACCAGCATATTTCCTCTGAACTAAAATAGTGGCATATCTAGACATTTTCCATTTAAAACTTGTACCTAAAACCAGCGTACAGCAGGGAAATTGTCCATGCACTTGATCTTTCATTTGTAAAGTCCCTACAAGCTGTCCACTTCTTTCCTATGAAGACAGGTCAAAGCTTAGGGAGATGTGTCAGCACGTTGTAAATACAGATGTCTAGGTTTACTAGCTGTTCTAAGCTGGCTCGCTGTGTGGTGACTCTGAATTTTATTAAATGTAATTCAATTCATTCCACCCAATACTCTCACTACATGCTTCTCCTGTCCACGTAAGGAGATAGTGCATAACAACATAATTGTCATTTTCTTTCTTTCAAGATTGACCAAAAATGCTGTGAGTATACAAAAGGATCTAAAATCCCTTGAACACGTAGACTTTTAAAACCAAAACCAAGAAGGGCCGTATAGTTACGCCACTCCTTCAACTTTCAGATTTCTCAAAATCTTACTCTACTGCTGAGCAAGACTTCTTTGTGTCAGTCTCAAAGCAAAAAGGTCACCCGGTCTTTTTGCAAAGATATCCTGTATTTATTTCTAACATCACTTTTACTTTATGGAATTACGTACCTACTCACTGTTTTTTTCCAGTACCATCAATTTGTAGTATTTCATGCCCTGTGTACAGCGCTTAAAAAACCTGTAAAGCTCATTTTATATCAACACACTTGCAGGATTGCAGAGTGTTTCAAATAGATCTCTTGGCTTTTCCCTTGATGGCAAAATACTAACCTGCATGTGTTTTAGGAAAACTTGTCAACCCTCTTTAGCAAAGACAAGCAGAGTAACAGATCTGATATCTAAGGTTTCACGTACACTCCAAGTGAAATCAGGATTCATCATTATTGTAAAGAATTGTGCAAGAACAGTGAAGATAGGGGCTGTGCCTTAAAAAAGTTTGGTAATGGACATGGGCAAACTATGTCTGGTTTAGGAATGTGTGTGACAAAACCCTAATCTCCTGCTCTCCCTCCCTTGCTTTCCTCATACATGGTGCTCTGAAATGCACAATGATCTCTTGCATGCTATTCAGTAACAATGGTTGAATCTCCAGTTCTAGTACATCCCAAAGCAGAGATACATGAGACAGGTAATATCGGTCTTGATGATCCCCAAGTTCTCCTCTTTGCTGCCAAGGTTGACTTCGAATCTTGAGCCAATTGAGGAGTGACAGAGTTTGGACCTTCATTGGTGTCTGCAGTGACAGGATTTATTCTGTGCTGATGAAAAACTGAGGGTTTGATCCAAAGCTCATTAAAAACAGTGACAGCCTTTCTGTTGACTTCATAAAATATTGTGTCAGGTCGTGAATGAAGTTCTTACAAGTAAGAAAAATGAAAAGGCTAAGAAAAAACAACTCCTTACACCTCAACATCACAGATGAAACTATTATAATAGTACATAAGATTTAAGTGGCAGTGCATAATTCTCCTTTTCTTGATTGTAACAGATGTGTTTATCCAATACAGAAGACAAAGGAAAAGCCTGCCAAGTGATTGTGGAGTCATACGGAATACAGTGACCCAGAAGCAAGTCTCCAGAACTGAACAATGACAGACTGTTGTTCTTATTCAGAGTGAATCTCTGTAGCGTTGTTTTTGCTAAATGCCGCCCTTCAAATAAACCAAAGAAGAGCGATTCATTCCATACTGCTGCCGCATTGAAGCCAAGGTCAATGTCAGTAGGGCTGGATAAATCTAGCTGTAAATTTTAAACTACGTAGAAACATCAAAGTTAAAAAACTTATCTTTTATCCATGGTAACATACAGCTTATGGGTTTTTATGGCAAAGCTTTCACTTCTTTATAACTGTCCATTTTGTAGCTTTTCGAACTGACTGTGTGTCTGGTAACAGGCTAATTAATCCATGCTGATGAATACAGATCTGCCTCTGTCTAAGCTGTACAGGGAGTCACGTTCTTTGAATTTCCTGTATTAATTATGAAAAAAATGGGTCGGAAACCATTTGAGAATAGATCCTCTGGTGTTTATATTTCAAGAAAGACAAATATAATAATGTAAAATTTATTACCCTGGGATTGATCTCAGCTTATAGTCCTACCTCCCATTAACTATTAAAAGCTAGAAACTGAGCAGTTGTTCGAAACCACCCTGCTTACTATCAGTTTTGGATGTGTTAAGAAACAACAGAGGAAGCCTAATTCACTTGCTCCATAAAGGCTTTTATGCTCTCTGACAAACCGTATAACATCTCTGCTGTTCTTTCAGAGCATTGTCACTAAAAACCAGTCACCTCCCTTCACTCTCTGAGCTTATGGCACTGCGCTGTTTGGGGTTTATCATCTCAAGCGAATTGAAAGCAGCAGAATTAGAATGGCAAGAATAGCAATGCCATCAGCACAGTACTTGTAAGTAGGCAACTTTGTAGTATGCCAGTTATATCTCTCAGCTGCAGAATTTACTGCGTAATTCTTCATGCGCCCATGCATCTACACAATGTTTAGGAAAAATGTCCATACATCTTTGAAATTCTTAATCGTGAAAGCATGGTTCCTATTGTAACAAACTGCCGGTGGTCAAGATACAGTAATGTTTTTTAATGACCTAGGTCTCTCAAGTCCTACTTGTTTGCAAAATTCATCTTTATGAAATAGTGCATTCATTTCAGTACAGGCTGGCAGCAACTCAAGGACATCTGCTTACCTATACAGTATTAAGCAGATAAATATTTTGTTTAGTACCCATTTACTGTATCTATTACTGTGTATGACTGCAAAGCTTTTCAATATTTATTGCTCTGAAGTCACATCTGATGTAGTTTAATAGTTTGCTCAAATCAGCAACAAATCAACATCTTTCTGCCTTGCTCAAGTTCATCCCAATTTTGTGCTTAAAGTACATTGCGCTGAAGGGTAATGTACATAATTCCATTTTTCCCATATAACGTCAGTAACTTAATGTTTATTTTCAACATTTACATCAGGTTTCAGGTGCCAACTAAGTGAAAGCAATGGTTTGGCTGAGCTCTGGACCTCAATGAACTATGATTCCATCACATTCTGTAGCTTAAAAACTAAAGACTGAAGCCTGTAAACTTCAATAATGAAAACTATTAGCTGCCCTTTCATTAATAATAAAGCAATTTTCAACTATTATAAAAAATATGAAGGGTAAGCATTGCTGGTTTTAATGAGAAATTACCCAATAATGTAATCTTCTTCCTTCTGTATGTTATCAGTGCTTGACTTCATTCTGGGCTAGAATGTGAACCCTCTTATTCCCACTGCTAAGTAATTACTTGCATTGATAAACCTGCTGAATCCAGTGAGACTATTTGTGTAGGCTACTACTAATTACCAAGAGTGAAGAATTTACAATATGAATATATGTATATATACACATTTCCCCAAACATCTATATGGAGGCATTAGTCACACTTGCCATGTTCAGGGTAGCATATAAATCTTCATTAACTCTTCTTTTTACATTTTCATCAATGTATTTTCATCTATGTATTTCCATCGTGCCCAAGCTGAAGTTCCAGAAAAGCACACAAAATTTCCATACGTAGATTTGTACAGATTTTCTAAGGTAAGTAAAGAAAGGAATGCTACACGTCTGAAATGTGGTATGCTAGGGGCAGAGAAGGGGGTGTTTTGAAATAATCCATTTGGTGGATTGAAAAACAACTCTTCCATGTGTTTCTTCTTAAACTGTGATGTGTTATTAATTATTTATACAGAACAGAGCATTTATGCTACAGGCTTGAGGTGAGGAGGGAACAGCTGTTAGGGTTAACCATGGGAAGAAGATGGGAAGAGCTGCTGGAAGAAGTATTTCAAACTAAAGATCAGATTGAACCGAACATTTCCTGAAGGCACCCTGGTATACTCTCTCCCACTAGTCTGGGCAGGGGCCTGAATATGGATTGTAACTGCTTTGCTGTGACAACATCAGGCTTCTCTAAGTACAATCTACTTAGCAGCAGAAGTGTATGGGATGGGAAGAAGATTTTCAAATGCATCATTGCCTGTAGCTCTCCAAAAAGCTTGAGCCACAGCAGTAAGAATGGAGAAATGTCTCATTTTCTGGCCAGGTTCTTCTTAGACTCGTGGATAATAGGGTCTAGGAGTGTATTTATGACGTTCCTTTGACCACACTCAGCTTGGCAAACTTAAAAGGGCCATAGTTTTCTGGAAACTGAGTGCCACTCAAAACAAT